TGAAAGGCATTTAGTTTCCTCCTTCCATGTAATTGCACTTTAGTTCCCACATTCATTAAGTCGAGATGATAATATTATTACGATATCTCTCAAGTTATTGATGTTACCTTTAGAAATTGATTTATCATAGATAATCTAAATTATAACGCATTCTAATCTAATTACAATACATTCTCATCTTGATTATGATACATTTTAAATGCAAAATAATAATCTAAATCATAATACATTCTAATACATAATAAAATGACTCAATACATGATGTAAATTAGATCTTTAGCGTTTAGAAATAAGATTCAACTACTATTTCCTGTTCCAATTACGTGTTTCAGGAAATACTCATGCTTACTGATTTGACATTAGCTAAACTGAACTTAAAAGTAAAGGAATTTAATTCCGTGTCACAGTCTTCCAAAGTGCAAATCAAATGTATCGCCACACCAATAGAAACAAACTGTGGATTGAACTAAAATATTTAAAAATTTTATTTCATATTTTTTAAACTAATGATTGCTTACTTGAAATGAATTCTGTTTGAGTACTATTTACATACCTTTTCGAATCTGTCGTTTCTAATAAACGAAGATGTAAGATTTTTATAGTACCGTGAAAATTGTGTTTGTATTGTTAGATATGTTTTAATTTTTACTGACCTTCATAACATATTTAAATCTTCTGTAATACTGAAACTTTTCAAAATTATTTTGAGCTTATATTTCTTCAGTAAAACTATTACTGTGATTTAAATATTTGAAATTTTCTAGATTCATATTTCAGCTGTACGTGTATTTTTGGATATATGTTTACATATTTCTTTATATTACAATAGTTAATTAATATTATGACAATGCACTGCATCTTCATCTACATCTTCACTACGTCCTCAATTTCTTTCTTTTTTCACATCTTTCACATCTAGTCAAAATTGAAGAGTATTTTATTTTACAATCTATCAAACTATTACGAGATTTAAAGCAATTTACACTTCAAAAAAGAATTATGAAGGAATCGTATGCGGAATCATTATGCAATCTTTGCATGATTCCTTATGCATTTGTAATTTCTTTTTTATGGTATAGAAGACGCTATAGCGATCCACTAGTTGGAAGGTCAATGGTTTCGTTTTGTAGCAAATTTGCAGTTGTTTTTTTCACGTTTTCCTTCCGACCAAAAACTTACAATAATATTTTCTTCAATGCAAAACTATAATATTTATGCTCAATTAAGATTGCGTTAAAACGTTTAAGTTCTACTGCATTGTAAAAATCAGTTTTAATCTAAAGTTCAATTTTCCCTAATTTTAAAGTCAAAATTCATTTCAGAGAAAAAGTTGATATCTTTCAGTTTGCAACAATTGCAGTTTACATCGTGCCGCTTTCCGACTCGACATTATTATTTAAAATCAATTTTTTCATACAAACACCTAAGTCTTGGATTCATTTTTGTAACTTTTTTCTCGTAATTTTTTGCCTGATTCTGCCACATATTCGGTTGTTTTGAATTCGGATTGAAAACTGTTAAAACCAGAGCGGAACATTTTTAGTCCTTGGAAGAAGAAGCACATATGTCAGAATCATCTTTTGAAACGCATATAATTTTTTTTTTGCTTCATAAGCAAGAATAGAATTAATACTATACGTTGCTAAATATGATGTTAAAAACTGAAATCTCGAAGAGTAAAATCGCTTGATAACACTGATATTTTATAACTAGCACTTTACCACTTTACTTAACAATTATTCTAGTAGCTGTAAACGTAGCGGAAGTACTGCTACCTTCTTTATAGCCAGATAATTTTCAATGACGATGTTTTACGACATTTATATAATGGAATGTTTTCAAACTATTTTTTCAGTGTCAGTGTGCTTCTGAAGGCGATATATCTAAATAAAAATGCATGAAATATAATATTATGTAGCCACAAATGGAATTTGCATAAAATCTATGATAGAAAAAAATAAGGTGCCTCGCCGAAAACATCTCGGCAAAAATGTTGCAGAGAAAACAAAGCAAGTGAAAAACGTCGCGGGGAAAAAAAAAAAAAAAAAAAAAAAAAAAAAGGAAAGAAGAGAAGACATCCCAGTTATGAAACATCGTGGTAGAAAGTGTAGAGGTTCAGAAACTTCGCAATTTTGAAACATCTTTGTAAAAAAATATCGTTGTAAAAAAAGCCTTTCGCCTGATAAATAGCATCGCAGACATCAGTTTTTCTAACATTAAAAATTTTAAATGTAGGATCGCATTTCTAATCCAGTTTTATAAAAGAGGTTAATTAAATAATGGTAACTGCTTTAGGTTTGCATTAATTTTCTTGAATTTTTTCATTAATTCTTGATGGCTGAAGAGTTTCCTTCATATTTTTTCAGTAAAATTTCATTAATTACTTCAAAAATATGAAGTATAGAGTAACATTGCTCGTTCCTTCTTGCGGTCAAAACTCATCATTTGCGTATGCATTTAAAACTTTTAAAATACATTTCTGCGATGTTTTCATGCACTAATTGTAGGTACTTTATTTTTTCCCCACGATAATTTTACAGCGATGTTTCATAACTGCCAGGTTTTTTAACTGTTTTATTTTCTACGATAATGTTTTATAACTGCTGTGCTTCTCCTTGTTTTCTTTTCTCCCTCGACATTTTGTACAATGATGTTTTCCCCTTAAGTTGTAGTCTTGGCGACGTTTCCGTCCGCGTTGTTTTTGCCTGTAATCATAACCATATTTATAAAATTTGTAATATGTATTTTCATCGTTTTTATTATTCCCTAACCATGATGATATTCAGATTTCTGAATAATGCAGACTAATTCTATATTTCGGAAAAAATATTATTTTCAGAAATATGTCAATATGAATTTGATTTGTAAAATTTAAAATTATCAATTTTTTATTGTATTTTGTTAATAAATTTAAAACAGTTAAAGATTTATAGTTTAAAGAGAGAAAGTTGATCTATTAAGTTCAAAAATAGTGAAAGAGGAAAGAGAAAATTACTTTCCTAATCTCAAATTTTGCTTGCTCAAATTTTGCTCATTTATGCGTCTATATTCCTGCGCAGTGCTTCCGTTAATTTAATGCTACGTCCTTAACTTCGGGACAACCCTTACATGAATACTTAGAAATAAACACTTAATCTGTTTATTCTCTTCTATTCAAGAATTACGTTTAAGTACCTCTGAAGTAAATAATAGGATAAACTCGAAAGCTCTCAGCATTCTTTAACTTCTTAATAACTACGTGATTACTATGAGTTAGCTATATGTTGTCTTCGTGTTAAAACAGTGAAGAGACTTGAGTTGATTATTTTTCATAAACATTAAGGGCACATATCTAAATTGCACCGAAATTCATGAAAGGTTCAAACTGTGTTATGTTAGAGTACTTTTGCAGTTTATTTTAATTATGTTGAATGTTTAATTTTCCATTTTATTTACTGCTCGTACTAATACTTTTATGGGCAATTTTATCTTAATATATGAGAGACGTGCAGATGCTGAAATACTGAATTGTACAAATCGTTTGTTATAGATATATCATATCTGCCATAGTTATCAAGGCACTTATTCCATTGATAAACTAGATTAGATGCTCTGTGAAATAAGAAGATTTCTTCCTTTAAAAATTTTTGCGTTATATATGGAATTCCTGAAAGTCTGTTGCTAAGGGATTCCACGGACGTAGATGTACGTACCAATGAAGATTGGTATCAAGTTCAAAGAACTTGGAAGGCGATTTCCATTGGCATTACACATTGTTTTCTTTTATCTGTAAATTTTTCGGTAACAATGCAAACGGACAGTTTCTGTACCCATAGGTTCCCATAGGTTGTTCAAATTCTGACAGAAGAAGTTTATCCGGGCTTTTAGTTCCTGTTTTGTAATGTCACTAATGTGCCGCCCAGACGGCATAGTGGTTACGGAAGCCTGACTGCGATACAAAGGCCGGGCTTCGAATCCCGGAAAAGGCATGGATGTAAAATTGTCTATACCTTCATAGGATGGTAGCAGTGGCCGCCTATTAGGCGCCACCACAATTAAATGGCCACTACTTCTGGCCTTAGTAGCGGCCAGTGCTATTATAGGCAAATTCCCGCCATTGAAAAAATAAGTGTCACTAATCTCAAATACCACTTTTTTCTTGGCGTTTTATCTTTTCGATGGTTATGATTAAAACAATGTTTCCTGTTTCTCTTTCTTTCCATGTTTCACCATCTAGTAGTATTACTTATTCGCAGTATATGGAATATTGCATCATTGTGAGTTTATATATGTCACTAAATATTGCGACTTTGCGACATGTCAAAAATATTCCAAACAAAAAATGATTCTCGTGTAAATTATTTGATTTCAAACTTCAAGATGAAGCATGAAATATTCTGTAACGCATTGTCGTACATAAAATCACATGAAATAATCTGTAAGGCATCGTGGTAGTTAAATAAGTATTCAGTGAGAGGTGTTACAAATATATTTGCATTTCAAAGAATTACTTGTATGGGAAATCGAATCAAGAATCTTGGGGTTTGTAGGCGAGTGTCCTTATCACTAAGCTTCGAACCTGATGTCTATTCGTTGTCCTTGCTTCTTGCATCAACTTCGTTTACCGTTTTTTTGCATACACTTGTCACGTGTCTTAGTCCGCATACAACATCGCAAAAGGGCATGACCTACTTCATTTGAGTCCCTCTGTTAAGATTGATTTGACTGAAATTCAGACCTGGAACTTCTCGATCTGTAGACGAGAAGTTTACTTTAGTTTGAATATGTAGATGAGAGGAATGAAGCAGCTGATAACTTTTTTTTTTTTTTTTTTTTGTGTGTGTGTGTGTGTCTTTCACCAGTTTCTCTTGTAGTTATGTGCATAACTAGTGGTATTTTCTTATGTTATTTCTACAGTTAGCTTCTAAAATTGTCAAAAGGACAAGGATAAGTTTATGAGATATCCTACATTGTTATTTGATCATGTACTTAACCTGTTTTTTTTTTTTTTTTCTTTACAGACATTGTGTGGCCCCTGGGAGCGCTGACTGATGGTAATGATGGGATGCTTTGTGTCCCTCTTACTACAGCTTCACGAAGTACTTGCTCTTTTCTTTCTTCCTTTTTACTTTTTTATGCTGTTATGCTTAGTACATGTTTAAAATCTGTTAACCCTTAATTGGTCAAATGACGTTTCTGAGACTGTTCTATTTATCTTCTGTATCTATTAATGTATTAAATAGTGAAAAATAAATGTTTAAGTTTACGGAATTTTTTTTATTAACATTTCTTTTTCAGAGTTTATTTTTTAAAAAAGGAGTCTCGCAGATTGCAGACGTTCTTTATGCATTTTAAATTCACGTGACCAGTTAAGGGTTAATGTTGATGTATCTAAGTGAAAAATATTCCCGTTGCCTCGATCAGGATATCAATTAACTGAAGACAGTTAGGTGTGATTGAGAAAGATCTTATACATTGCGATCTCTTATTTTTAAACTCATTATTTTTATTATTTTGTAGAAATTATGATTTACTTTTATGTCAGATTATCGCAAAATTTCTTTAGATGGTTATAAGATCAAAAATACATCATACAAGAATACGTTTAAAGCATTTTATTTACATTTACTACCCTAAAGGTATCACAGATAATAACTAACGGGAGTGTTAAATTCTAATTAAATTTCAAAGAATAATAAAGTTTTATTTTATCTTAATACATAATAATATTTTGAAATGTCACACATCAAAAATATTTAAAATATGTGGATTCATTTTACATTAAGCAGACTTCATCATTAGAAGTTATAAGCTTGTTAATAAGGAGGTTATAATGCTGTATAATTATTTATGCAGTCATTCTTATATAGCTTTCGAAATTACATTAAAATATAAAACCTGTACCCAGAAAATAAAATATATTTTATTGACTGCATTTTCATCAATGTAATTCTTGTACTTTGAGACAAAATTTAAGAAAGTCGTGTTAATTAATTTATCGTGAAAAACAGTGTAACCTATAGTCTTGCGTTTAAGATGACATTTTTCCCGCTTAAAATGCGGTTCAAAAACTATAATCGCCTTATTCGGCCAGCGTAACAATTGAAAAATGTGTTAAAATGATACATTGACGTGAAAGTCTTTTGACTTTTACATCAAAAGAAAATGTTGATATAGACAAAACACATTAGAAACACCAAGTTCATTTATGTGAGGCCCCCTTATAAGCAAACTTTTTTTACTTAAAAAAAGTCTTTTGCAATACTTTAAAATCGCAAGGTCTTCATTTAAGGGAGTGTTATATTGAAATAATATGATATTACTGGTAATGTAATTTTTCAAAAAAAATATCTAATAAATTAAAATGTGATTAAAACATCCTGTTTTATATTTGCATTGTCACTAGTCAAATAATTGGAAATATTTACTGTTTTATAAATTAATTTAAAGTTCACTGTGTATAAAATGAAATAAATATTTAAAATTAATTGAAGTACTATTTACACACTGCGTTTAGAAAGTTTTAAGGCTAAATGTTTTTTTAATAAATTTCAGCAAAATTTGCCAAACGGTATATACCATTTATTACCATGATATCTGAACTAGTCAGTAAAATTCTTTCTGCTTATCGGCAGACTTGTGTATGTATAGTTAATCATTTGCTTTGATCCAGGGATGTATGCTGTAATGGATTCGAAATTCTGTGCGGAGAGCAGCAATGAAGTTTAGAAGTAAAGTGGGCATTATTTCTGATTTTTTTTTAAACAGATGGTGTCTGCAAGTGAAACATGGCGCTGTTCTTATGATCCTGAAGTAAAAAAGTAATGTGATTGATTTGGCGAAGGTCAACACAGCCATATAAACTTCGGTTTCAAAAATGTGAAATAGAGACTTTTTCTAGAATAATTCTCTGGAACCTCTCCGAGCAAAAAAAAAAAAAAAAAAAAAAAAAAAAAAAAAAAAAAACTGTTCCTGAAAGATTATTTCCATATTTTATAAATACGTAATGAATGATTTCCTGAAGAAAATCCAAGATATTAGGCCTGAAAAAGTGCAATCGGATAATTGTTTTTTTTTCTGCGCGAAAATCCGCCGTCACACAATTTCATTCTCGTCACACAACTTCTAGTAAAGAAATGTTCCACCACCTTCCTTATTCACAACAATATTTAGCAGCTGCAGATTATTTTATTATCTGCCCTAAGGTGAAGTCTCAAAGTTCATTATTACAATAGCGTAGAAAAGATTCAGAAAACTGCAACTAAAAAATTTTAAAAATGTTTAAGCAAAGAGTTCTACGAAGAAATCAAACAACTGTAAGAACATGTCAAGCGTTTTATAAACATACAATAACTGTACATGGAAATCTAAAATTTAAGAATTTTTTTCTTTTTTTGGGGGGGAGGTTGATTTTGTACGAGTTTAGTCTTAAAACTTTGAAGACGCATGTTTATAAATTAACATTGAAATATGTTAGACACATATATGTTTCATAGAAAATTTCCCCCAAAAAAGATGCCGATGCTACGTATAATTATTCTTTGTGTTAATCGCGTGAAATAAGGAATGAAAAAGTAAACACAAGAAAAAAAAATAAATAAATAAAATGGCGGAATAAATTACCTATATCCATCTAAGTAAATCCTTCTCATTATTCTCGACTAGTTAACGTCTCGCTTAGGCAAAATGAAAAATGAGAGATATAATTATACCTTTAAAGAACCGATGCAGTCAGTCGCTATGCTGAAGCAAACCATTTCTCTTCCACTGCTGCAAATCTGTGACGTCATTGCAAAAGGCAATGACGATGACAAAATTAACGGTCTTCTTTAAAGCGAGATAATTCACATGTCACTGGCTGTTATTCCTTTATCATTTTAAGTTATTACGGGGATTTGTTACGGAGATTTTCGAAAAAGAAATTACGTCTAGGGGGAAGGGGTATGAATAGAAATCACTGCAGTACCACTTCCGAAATTATGTGGCTGTCGCTATAGTTTTTAAAAAATTACGTTACACTAGAAATCGACAGGCACGTTTCTTTAAAATGAATTGCACGAATTATCATGTGTTTGGTAGCTACTTATAATGTCAGAAAAGCTAGTACGAATTCAATACAACAGTAATTATACTCCACGCATTAGTTGTTAAAATAATTTATTCCCTTTTAATTGGGCGTTTGTTATATTACGAGCAGAATTGTCTTTCTTTAGTTTGTACTAATTAATATTTTACGCGTCGTTGAATTTTGTGTAGATTGCTTCATCGCTTGTTTGTGTTTTTAAAACACATCTTATTTAATACTAACGCGCCTGAACGAACAATGTTGATTTTTAATGAAACTGTACGATTGTAAGCCAGACTTTTCTCATTATATGAAAGTCATGTTCTTTAATCGAAATTAATATAAGGTTCTTGAGTGCGTTCGAAATAATGACGCAATGGCAAATACAAATTTGTAATGAACTAGGCTGTTCCTAATTAATTCCTCATGAAATAGGCTGTTCCTAATTTATAATCAAAATTATTTCCATATTTTACCATTTTTTTAATCTTATTGATTCCACCTATTGAAATTAGATCTTTAATTAAAAATTAGATTTCGATAAAATTTAAAAATTCCCATGCGTTTCCATAAAAGTATTGTATAGATGCTAGAACTGAGTGTATTAAGAGTGTTTCGTTTAGCTCATTTTTTATCATTCGTTTACCTTACGAACAAGCCGCAGGAGTTTTGACGAATTAGGTTTTTCGAGACAGGAATTGCGACTTTTTGTTTGCCGTTAGAGACGCTGGAGAGTTTTGGAAGTAATGGTGCGTAATTGCTGTATTGGTAGATCCTGCTTAGCTGTAAAATACTTTGAACGAAAATGAATGGGATTCTCTAAGGATTTTGTTGGCCGTTTTCGTACTTCCTTATTAAAGCGGCCACCGCACTTTATCGCCAAAATTCGTAAACTTAATCACTCAATCTGTAAAGTGAAAATTTCAAATGCTACAAATGATTTTTGCGGTGACCTCTTTAATAAGAAATTACCATCATAATTTTTATATACAAAATTTTGCTGTTATCAAAATACCGTTGTTTGGCTTATTAAAAAACATAACTTCATTCTTTTGAAATAAAATCTTATATTAAAAAATTATTATTCTCTACTAATTATATTTAGAAACATTACTTATTTCTTTTTTTTTAAGTGACTGAAAATTTAAAAACTCAAATTCCTTTATTATTGTCTAGTCATTTTAGCTCAGAGGGGCGTTAGCTCGGAAGTGCAACTATTCAAGAAATGGCATTTTGCGTTGGTTCACTATAAATGTCCGTTTCACTTTTTTTTGAGTAACGTAGTCCTCCACCCGAATATAGGAACATGGAACCCCAAATTTGGAATTTGTTTTAATGTCTATTTCATATTTTGTAAAACTTTAACGAGTTTTTGATTTACAAACTCTACGATTTCAATGCCAGTAGTGGCAACACTGTACGGGAAAAAAAAATAATAATAACTCCAGCGCGCGAGACTGGATTATAAAGATATGCTCGGAAATTATAAAGATATGCTCTTTTTAAATATTTTTATCCCAACTGGACATTAGCCCAAATACTATCGAAGCATGTATGGGTGTGTAAATCAAAACAACGCCCCTTTGGATGTAATATAAAACCTGAAAGCTTTCAGATTTTTTTAATCAGCTATATTTTATAAATATTCGAGCGCGAAACTTTTACAAATACTGATAATTACATTTTATTTATTTATTTACAATTTAAATTCTTCACTCTTTAATACTGCCACTACGTTATATTATTGGCAGATATGTCAAATTATGAAAATAAAAATCCAACGCTGAATGAAATAAATAAATATATTTGAATACTTCAAAAATAAAGCATTCCAGTATATTTGCTATACATTAGTAGCTGAGTAAATATTATGAGAGTTGTGTTTGTTCCTTAATTTTCGATCCGTAATTTTATTGAAATGGAGTAAACGTACTCATTAACAGAAAACTTTACTCTGTTTTACTTTTAGATTCAATAATATGGTAATCTATGAAGAGAAATCAAACAAATATTAGACAAGGAAACCTAAATCACGTGATCTTTGCAAATAAAAGCTACTATGCGTATGACAGATAACGTCATTTGTAAAATCACCAAGTCAAAACATTTTTTAAAATTTTTTCGGAACTCTTCTGTGTGGTATTACAATACAATAAATATGGAGTGAACCTGAATTTCTGATTTATCGTATTTTTGGATGAACTAAAAGCTAGTTATTATTCCATTTCGGATCTGTTGTTTGCCATATCGGCGGTTCGCTCTCTTCGCAATGATCACGTGATTTGACTGCCATGGTCTTGTTTTAAGTTGATTGCTCATTATATATATATATTAAATTTATTCTTTTTTATAGTTAATGTTTCTCTGTATGTTTCAAATCTTTTTTTCTCTCTTTTCTAGCAGCTGGCTTTGCAGCTTACAGCTATGGCCGCGGAGGCTTTCCAGGTTATCCAAGCTTCAGTTATCCTTTTGCAGGTATGAGCTTCAGCCCGCCCCACCACCTCTGCCTGCCCCTCTTGTCTTCGGACTCTACTGTGGGGTTGTGCAATTTGCATGCGTTGCAACTCTAACTGCATTCGGTGCGTCTGGTTGTTTAAATATCGCAACCCGTGCACCCAGAACACTTTGGTTTGACTCTTATTTATTAATTATTATTTACCCCTATTTTGTGAGAAGACTCTTAGTAAGTCTTAGACAGGACTCTCTAAAAGAAGTTTTCTGCATTCAAAGCGCAATTGAATTTCGAATTATTTTGCTTTTGATTTTTGTTGATGTGTAGCAAAGAAATTTTCATCAGTCTTAAAAAGATATTCGTAATAATTTTAAAACGAAAATAATAAAACTTCTTATTCTGTAGTATTTCAGGACTCGCATTTAAGAAGAAATATGTTGAAGTAAAGAAACTGAGTTTTTTTTTTTTTTTTTTTTTTTTTTTTTTTTTTTTTTTTTTTAAATTTAATCGCTTCTTAATTTTTTACCAATAATTTTTAGTTAAAAAATTTTAAGATTATACGACATGTTTTAAGATAATATCAAAATATTAGGGCAAGAACTGATTTGCCGTGATAGTATTTTATAGCCGTGATAATTCATTTGCGTTTTGAAATGAAATTTTGGGCAGACTCTGTTGACGATTTCGATTTCTGTTTCTTCAAAAGATGCAGCACGGGTTGTTGGAATTCTAATACTTGAAATTAACTTTTTTTATGTTATGTAGTAATTGGAAGCGGGACCGCTACTTAATTTCGTGCATACATTTATATTTTAATTCTTTACTTTATTATTAACAACCTGTTATTAATTTCTTATGATAAATTGAATTATACATCTTTATTTAAATTTTTGTAACCGGTATCGATGCGTTGCTAATGGCAACGCAAAAGCATATTTTTCGTTTTTTAAACCAGCACATTTTTTTAATATTATTATTAGGGGGTAGACGATGAGTAGTTGCTTGAAATTAAAAACCTCTAATTTTGAAAAAATTGCTACGAAGATAAAACATTATGAAATATTTTATTGATTGTGATACTGCACTTCACTATTAGTATCTTTTGAAGCAATAGTCTTATATTTAATATTCAAAATATATATTATATATTTTGAAGCAATAGTCTGATATAGCAATAGTCTTTAGTGTATTAAACTCCCGTCAATATTTCTTGGCAAATGTATAAAACTATGTTTCTGCGTTGACAGCAGTAACGTTAAGGTACCGGAACTTTTAAAGGCACTGAAAAATATTTATTGTTGAAAACGCTGCATGATAGATTGTACAATCCGCAAAATGGGAGGGAGAGGCGTTTTCTCCTTTTCTTGTAAATTCTCAATCTATACGTTTCTTTAAGCATAAGTATATAGTTGAACAAACTTTAGAAATCGTCCTCCCATCCATTTTAAAACTTCCTTTTTACTTCCCTTCGTGAAAAAGATATCATGAATTCTGATCAGTGCTCCCGATTTAAATATTTTTCTTTAAATCCTAACTTAGAGGTCACAATCTATAATAAACTATCTTACCTTAAATTTGTGGTTTGAGGATAGCTCTCACTGAATTATTCACGCAGCATTCCTTACTTCTTCTACCGACTGAAATTTTGCTATTGAGTTCTAATGTTCCTTGCATTCTCCGAGTTTATAGACCCTCCCTTTTTCTCTGAGCCTTAGTCGCTGCCTTTCAATTTTCGATGATGCCTCCATAAAGGAGAAAGGGAAGATATGTCTTCTTCTTTCCCCCTCTCCCATTCTGCCAACTGTACGTACTGTCTGTTGTATGCAGGAACTTCGGGTGTCGGCCTCCCCGTTGACTGGGCCTTTGCAACCTCTGTTCCTTTCATCCCTCACCCCTGAAGTTCTTTATCAGGGTCACTGAATTATTCTGTTCTCGAGAGAAACCCTGGAATGGTGCAGATATTAATTTCAGTATAAGTTATGTTATTCCAATATATTCTTTTGCTGGCTGCGAGCAAACTGACTGAAGATACCTTCAGTGCCCAACTTCCGGGTGGTATTCCTAGCCCCCCCCAAAAAAACCTGTTTACATCTAATCATATTTGTTGGTGTTTCCGAATAAAAAAAGAAATTATTCTTCTTGCGTGCTTTATCTTTTAGTTACAATGGATATGTTTATATTAACTTCGATTATTTAATCAACGGCATACTTTAAGAAATGCTTGCCATTTTCAGAGTTTTTAATCGCTGATGTTATAAAATAATTTTCCCCATTTTACTTTAACATCTTTCGAGAACATGATGGAAGAAAACATTTGTTGTCTTATTAACGATGAAACTCTTTCCCACTCCCGAAGCAAATAATTAAATTCTTACAGAGACTTTGTTTTAGAAGTGAATTACTGAAGTATATGCTGGAAAAATTGTGTATGAATGTAGTAAAATTGTGTTAAGGATGATAGTAATGCAAAATTTTGAACTAATTCTGCTTTTTTAATGAAATTTTTTCGCAATCGTATCATCAGCAACCAAGCATTTTCAAATTAGTATTTTACTTTAAATCTTGATGGCTGTTACGATTAATTACATCAGATCTATTGACGTTTTTGAAGAAATTTAGTTAGGGAGTCTCTTTCTCCCTTCTAAACTAGCGAAACACATAAATTCATAGTTTGCTGAAATGTTCTTTTTTCTTCTAAAGGACGCTTGTAATTAGGTTACGGCTTCTAGAGAAAACTTTAATCTTATAATGGATCATTTATTGTTTCCATTTGTTTCGGTTTTATTGGCTAACCACCTGGAAGTTGAGCCATCAAAAGGAAATTTCCAGTTTGATCATGGTTACGATTTAGAAAGCAAGGAACTGCGTTGTTAGAGCCCCTGGGTTTTCCCTGAAATCTGTTCACTGTAATTATGGTACAACTCCTACGGCCAAATGCAAATGCTGTGGCTTGTTTGTTGTTATTGAGGAAGGTGATACAAACTTTGTTTTAGATTTGGGAAAGAAATGCTGGTGTTAAGGTAGTGCTTCGAAACATAACATTGTTTTGTCAACATTTTAATTTCATTTTGTTTATTAAGATTTCTACTTGGGATATCTCTCGTTTTAAAAATCATTCTGTTGTCTTCCATCACATTTGTCTGCCGATATATTTTGATTTTAATCTGTTTAATCCATATTATATAGGTTGCTTGTTGTTTCATTTTTTAATATGCACCCTTTCTTTTTCCTTAAAGCTCTTTGAAATAAAAACTAAAGATTTGTTTTTATTCTTGTTTATGTGCAGCTGAAAATTTCATTAACTAATATTATAGTCATTTAACTGCCTTTTGAATGAATATTTTTCCCCTCTGCTTAACTATGTATTAAATAAATAGGTCAGGCTACTTAGAGTCAAATGCATAGGTAATGGACATGCTTCCAAACATTTTAACGGATATTAGTAATAAAATTATATTTAATTTAAATCTGTCTTATTCCCCCTTTTTCTCTCTGATAAATAATACACACATTGTTGTGAAAGTCTGCTATATATTTTGTTTATAATAATGTGTTATTGTTTATTTTTTTCTGTTTTCTATTTTATTGTTATTAAATTTTGGAAAAGGTAATATATTTCCTATTTAAATCTCCATACATTGTAGTCATGTACAGGCAGACTAACAAGGCATATCAATACATTACATCTTCATTTACTGTGAGTGAATAAATTCTTCTTCTGTGGTTTTTAAAATGTTTCCATTATCTGAAAAAATACCAACCGTGTTATATTGCATTATAAAATTATATGTTTCAATGTAATTGCTATTATGAATTTTATTTAAATCTCCCTTAGCACCGGCTCTCTTTCCACTGAAACAAAAACTATTCGCCGATTCTTTAACGCATGCTCATGAAATTTCTTTCTTCTTGCCATCTTTGGGGAGAATATGATTTTCTTGTTTATAATTGCTTCTATTCCATTGTACACGTGCTCATATTCTGACTCTACTGTTTACATAGAAACGTCCAAATAGCGTCCATATTCTAAATAATATAGTAGTATTAGTCGGCCGAAATTAAGGCTTTCCCGTTTTTACTATTTATACGTTTAGACGTAGAATAAATTTTGTAACTGTGGCTACTACTTACTTATACTGATATACTGTCTTGCTCTGTAAGTGTCTGGATAAAACGAGGGTACGGATTAAAAAACCGCTAAATGTAGTTATCAAATTGATGGATATTCTTAAATAATTTCTGAATTCTGAACATCCTTTGGTAGGATGTAGATATAGCAGCAATAAAAAGTGAAGACGTGGTAATTTAATATCGCAGCATACCTCAGATTTTCTCCAAATGCTTACAGTGCAAGTTTTAGAATCCTTTGTTAGAACAGCGTAGAACTGAGAAGTGTTTAAGGAGCTAGCACTGCAAGTCCAAACATGCATGTTTAATCTAGCCACCTAATGTAACCTACAAGTGTAGAGTGAAGTATCAGCAGTCTAGGAAGGAAGGAATACAAAGGATTCGGATGAGTTATTCTGGAATATTTGACAAAATGGCTGTTGCAGTTTCTTAAATTTTGTCCTCTTCGCGATATGAAAAATCACATAGGTAACAATATATTCCCCCTTTTTTTTAATACTTAATGCTTTACGAATATTTAATTCTGGATTTATTCTATCCAGGTTTCTATTCGCATTTCTTTCTAGTTTTCTAATACTTATTTTCTGTCTCAGAGTGCAATTAATTTAAAAATTTGATAATGAGTTGAGGACTCTTTAAAAAAAAGCAGCTTTTTAAGTCGATGTATTCCAGAATAAATGTCTTATCTATTAGCGTATATATATAAATATATTACTATTTAGCATATCTTACAGTCTTACACTATGTGTAAATTTTATGCACATAATATTGCATGTCCAGTTTCGATACTATAGTTAAAAACCTCACGTGGGATTTCAATTGTGTTTTATCGAATAACGTTACTCTGAAATCTTTAGTATTAACATATGTGTATGTTATTTGTAAATTTTGTACT